AACCATAAATCAATTCAAGATAGAAAAATCACATATTAATAGCAAGGATAAATCAAATCTCTAGAACAAAACAACTAGTCCATAAACAAAAGTAAAGAACCAAAGATTAAACATTCCAAAAATATAAAAATAAAAGGATAGGAAAATAAGTTAGAAAAACTCATTTGAATGGAGGTCTTCTTTTAATCTTCTCTCCCACTTTTTCCTTGCTCCAAGATGCTTCTCTTTGAATTTGTGAGAAAATAAAATCCTAGACTAAGATTAAATAAATATATATGTTTTTGTATTTTTCTCTCAAAAAAGGCTTTTAAAAGCGTTATTTTCTCTCCTCTATTTTTGTTCTTGGCACTGTGCTGAGCTAATGAGAGCAGAGGAATATCCCTTAGAAAGGCAGCTGGAGGGAGAAATAAATTCTCTAAAATCCCATGTCAGCTGAAAAGAGAAGAATGCCCAATTTGGGCAGCTGACACATGCCAGGTTTCGTGCTCGCATTGGATGGGAATTTGCCGGAGCGACGTGGCAGTGCAGCGCTGGACAGAGGCGCGGGTGCACGAGGAGCCTCGGTGGATGGCGCCGCAACGAATATAGCGGATAGGGTAGGGGGATCGTGAGACACGTGGCGCTCAGAAATTGGGCGAACATTGCTCAACTGTCAACTTCGGACGCGCGCGTATGGAGTGTGGACCGCACGTGCCAACTGATCTTGGCTGGAGTTGATTCCACGGTTAGAAGCATGTGTTTTTCTTTTTTCTTTACTGATGCGCGTGGATTTGTTGAAGTTGATCCCAGTTTCGAATTTTAACTTTTGTCTGTATATTTTCACCCCTAATTTGCTCCAAAATAACATTTTAACCCCCTCACTAAATCTAGGGTTGTTCTTTTGCCCTTTTTGAGTTAGGTAACTTGAGTGTAGATTTTGAGTTATAACTTGAGTTGAAGTTGTAACTTGAGTTTGTGTTTGAGTGAGTCAAAACTTGAATTTGTATTTAGATAGTATTTTAATAAAAACTCAATGCTGATGGAAAATTTTAATATGGTATATGGCTGGGGTTTTATTCATCTTTTCGTTGTCAACGCATAGAAAAAAAATCATCTCAATCAGAATTAAAACAAAAAAGTTATAGCATTTTTAAAAATAGAAAAAATATTGTTCATTAATTTGAGTTCGAGTTTCTGAACTCACGTTGAAGGGGAAACTTGAACTCGAGTTTTAGTCCCAAACTCGACTTCAAACTTAAAAGAACATGAACTTGAATAAAGTTGTAACTCGAGTTGTTTTTTTTTTAAGTTTTTAACTCAAAAAAGGGGCTACCGAAAAGCCCCTAATTACACAAATGAGGAAGGAATTAACTGTTGAAAAGGAAACTAAATAACAATAAAATAAAATAGATATTAAACTAAACAAAACAAAGCAAAATTGTAGTAAAATAAAATAAATTAAAATGAAATCAAACAAAAGTAAAATACACAAAATTAAACTAAAAAGTTTTTTAATCTCAAGGACAAAGCTAATTTTAATGCACAAAAGTAGTGAAATAGCTCTATTTCTTAGAGTTATCTGGTTACTTCCATTCATTGATCAAGACGCAACGCTCCGGTTAAGATTATGTTTTGCAAACACAAAAAAATCAGTAAAATAAGGGTATAATAATTTTTTACTTTTAAGTAATATTATGAGTATCAATAGAGTTTAACACCACAAATAAATAGAGTATGATTCCCACAGCTAGGGCCATAGACAAAGCGCAATAGTTGTACTTCAACTCCACGATGCCTAAATTTTTTTTTCTTTTGCTCATTTGCTTAGACTCTTAGGCCACGTTTACTAAACTATAAAGGAATGTAATGAGATTGGAAAGAAAAGTACAGTAATAGGATTAAGAGTTATTCATTCCCTTTCATGTGTTTACTTGACTATTAGATGGTGTAATGGGAAACAATTCATTCCCTTTCTTATGTTTACTAAAATTAGGAATAGTAATTTTATGAATGTAATCACTAAAATGTCATTTTAAACAATTAAATAATAATTAATTGTATAGTAATTCATTAAGGGTATATGCGTAAATTTAACATTCATTCTTTTTGACAAAGAATTAATACTAAGAGGGGTGCAATGATTGATATTCTTTTTGCTCATTCCCTATATTGTGTAGGGCCCTCCAAATTTTCATTATTAATTTTGTAACCATATACATTATTAAATGGGAAAAAAAATCACTCCTTACTTTCCTATTCTCTTTGATATAAAGTAAACATGTCCTTATATCATACCTTACTTTCTAATTTATCTATCATTTACTTTTTTGTGAAATAGTAAATAAAACCTAGCCTCTTTTTATACCTTATTTTCCTTGTCTAGAGAAAGAGAATATGGCCAACCAACAGTATTGCAGTTCAAATTTTGTCAACAGATACTGAACGTGATGGTGGTTGGAGCAATTGGATTCGTTAATAGGTTTAGTGCTGGAACTTTGGACGGGCCGCCCGAAAAGCGCGAGTTTTTGCCCGAGCCCGAGCCTGAGCCGTCCGAGAAATTCGGGCCGCCCGCCCGAGCCCGAATTTCACCTTGAACGGGCCACGGGCTTGTATTAGGCGGCCCGAGCCCGCCCGAATTGCCCGAATTATTTAAACTTTTTTTTAATATTAAGTTATTTTGTGTTAAAATTTATATATATATATATATATATTACAATTTGAAATTTGAAATGAACACATGAACTATATAAAAAAATTCTTTCTTTATTAATTTTTAAATTTATAATTCATGATTACCTCATTAAAAACTTTACCAAGAAAAACCCAATTGGGATAAAAACTTAGCAAGGAAAAAAGAGTGCAATCATATTGTGACGAATTACAAATTTTACAAACTTACAAAGTTATACAATTACAAATACAATGTCAAAGGTAAATACATATTTACAAATT